TGGCATGACAAAAATGGCTCACATCCATGTCAAAGAGCCATGATCGTCCTAAAAGGATATGGGCAACTTCCATAAGAAGGACATCACACCAAACCTATCCCTGATAAGTTGCAAACTTAATGGGAACTAGACAACACTGTTTACCAAGGATGGTGACTTTATTTACCCTTGCTACCTTATAGGGTTGACGGTGTGTTTCAAATTTCGGTTTCATTCTTTCAAGGGTTCCTATGGATACGACATTTGCACTACTATCCCCATCAATGATTATCTTACAACTCTTGTCGCCCACTTTAATGTGGGTATGAAAAATATTGGTTTGTCTCCAATCCTCCTCTACCTTGGGTGTGGTTAAGATACGTCTCAAGACAGCAAGGGTTTCATCGTTATTTTCATTAGCTTAATTGACTTCTTCAGGGATGTGAGCTAATTTATTTTCGAGTATTTTATTTTTTTCAAAGTCATTTCCTATGTGAAGGGCTCTTGATGGGCATTGATGTGCAAAGTGTCCTGTCTTGTGGTAATTAAAGCAACGAGTTGAGGTGTCGCTTTGTCTTAAAAGTTTGATAACAATCTTTCCTTTATTGTCTTAGGGATGTCTAATGGTTGGATCACTAAATCGATTTTGAGTGGAGGCTGTATTGGAAATTTTAGAAGGCTTATCATTTTCATTGACCCTATGTATGGCAAACTCTCCAACTTGGGAACTGAACGTCCTAGGGACATGAACCTTAAGATACTGCTATATTATATATATGTTCCAGAGAGTTAATAACATATAAGATTAACTCTTTCCTAATTTCAAGCTTTAGTCTCTTGAATGTCACATCTAACCATCAATTCATCAAACTTATTAATATATTCAAATACATACATATTGTTTTGATGCAAGGTTTGGAGTTGATCCATTAAATGTTCTTGGTAGAATATAAGGATATATTTTTCTTTTAGTTTTTCTTTCATTTCATCCTAATATTCTATTGGAGTTTGGCCTAAACGTTGAATTCGTTTTTCAATATTGGTCTAGTGGAGTTTGGCTTTACCTATGAATTTCATTTTTGCAAAGCATACTCGAAGACCTTTTGACATATCATACTAATTGAAGTAGTCATCCATATCAGACAACCAATCAATAAAAACCCTTGCGTCCAACCTGCCATTGAAGCAGGGTGCTTCTACTTTGACCATTTTTCTAATGTCATCATTAACCTCCCTAAAATTGTGTCTACCATGACCAAGGTGATTTTGGTGGTTCTCGTGCATATCCAAGTTGTACATGTGTCATGATGATGCAAGTGGTGGAGCATGAGGCCTTTCATATGCTCTTTCGGGCTTATACTCAAAATGTTTTAAGTGATTTCTAGGATTGGTATTTTTTTAAATATGATTTTGCTCTTAGTCTAACTCTTGATCTGTCTTAGTATGATTTGAGTTATCATCATCCTGAGTTGGATCTAGGACCTTTGAAGTTCCAACTTTCTTAGCATATTGTCTCTTTCCAAAGGAAACCACGAGAGAAGGTGAGAGAAACCTGATTTATAGAATAATTAATTTAAACAATAAATAACAAAGCGGAAGTTCAGTCACATACTAAGATCATCGAGGAGTGCTTTGACATCCTTTTGGTTGAATTCGGATGTTGAGAGATTGGTTTGTGGGTGTTCGTTGCAAGATGGTTGAGTATGGGAGAGGAGAGGAATGTAGGGAATAATTTTGGACTCACTCCATGTCCTCCGACTTTGATCGGGAGGAAGTTGTGGTCTCGCACCACTCACACAATTTATGAGAAAACAAAACTAATATTCATTCCAATACTAATGATCCCATTACAATACTTTGGCCTCTTTATATAGGCCATAAATACAGGAAGAAAAGGAAGTTACAAATAAGGAAGAAAATAAAATTCATATCAAGATGATTCAGTACATTGTATTGGGTCATTTTTTGATAAGATGAGATTCCAAAATATTCTCGTAAAATAATCTTACTTCTTTATGTATGATGTTCTTCCGTCTTTTGCAAGATGACGATTCTGAAGAATTATCTTCCTTCTTTGTGCATAATGCTTTTCCTTTCTTGCAAAATGATGATTCTTGCAATATTCTCTCTTATTTATTTACTTCTTCTACTTTATTGTCAATCTAGAAAATAAGATGCTAATTATGTAGAATAGTCACATGACAATCCTAAAACATCAATTGAACCTGAACCCGAGTTCACTATCAATCCAAAGTGATTCAGTTTGGCCCTTTTTTTTTTTCCACATCTTCGAAATGTAGTTTGATTTCCATCATACCTGCTGCTATAAATTCAATGTAATTGTAAGTGTTGCATTTAAAAATTCTCTTGATTGTTTGGTTGCTTGCATTTGCAACTGCAGTTTGCTGTGTGTTTTGTTTTGTTGCCTTTGTTCACAATTGCTGTTTCACTCATCTAGTGTTTGGTGGTGAATGAAGATTGTGGGAAGATGGAAGAAAATACTGTGGTTATTGAGATGGGTAACAGCAGTTGTGCGGCACGAAAGGAAGGATGAAGAAAAGGATCACAATGGTCAAGGTGGGTGGTTGGAGGGGACACTGGAAACTGGAGAGATATGTGGTTGTTGTATGTAATACAGGAGATGCTCTGGATGGAGTCAACTTTACCATCATCTCTAGCCAGGTTTGGCCTGAGGCAGCCAAAAACTAATTATTAAGCACAAAAGTATAGCATACGTGTATTCAAAATATTAAAGTATAATGACATGGTTCAGACCCAAGAATTCTCACAATAAATTGGTGTACATTATGAACCTAAACATGCATAATCTGATTTCATTTGGGCAGGGCCAGGCTAGAGAAGCTTTTACCTAAGTCAAACGAATTTTGATTGGGCATATATTTTTTGCCCATGTTGGGCCTGACCAAGTCAAAACATTGTGCGAGTCTCCCCAGTAGCAGTCTAAATTGTTAGTTTACACAGATGGGCTAGCCAAAAAAAAAGGTCTGCAGGGGAGCAATTATTTGAAATAATAGATCCTAAATTGTAACTATTCTGGAGTTCAACCTGCAGGTTGTTTGGTTGCACTTGGAAGTATAGACTAAAGGTCCTAAGTTGCAATTGTAATGCAAGAAATATTATACATGTCAACTTGATAAAGTGGCCACAGTGCCACGTTGCATATACATGGTATGTGGGAGCATATGCAGCTGCATATACAATTCAATTAAGGTATTCAAGTTAACTTTAATATGGAGATTAAGAGTAATACAATCAACTCTAGATTGTTAGTGACTGAACATATGCTTGGACCTAATAAAAAATTATAGGATGATTTTATACTCATTTAAGAACTCAAGTGATAAGTTATAAGAAACGAGTATAGATGTAACTGATGAATGTCATAATATTTCCACATATGCTAGCCACATACTACATTCCAGAACACATGCCTGCACTACTCAATGGTCATCTATTGTAACATAGCAGCTAAACATCTGCTTTAATTAGATTTTTTTATTCAGTATGATGCTCCAAGCAAGCACTTTATTTTCAAGAAATAACTAGTCTGATTTGATGGGGAACATTTATATCTCCTTACTAAAATTGTAACAGAGACGTGATAAAAATATATTCAAGGTTATACGATATATCACTCTCACTGCTCAGTCAATATCCTATTATGGTGTTATCTGACGCTAGATTGTTTTTTGCACTTGCAGATTTTCTATTTCGTTGGGTTTGGCTTGTTCTGCCTCGAGGCACTGCTCAGCGTTTGGGTCATGCAGGTCTGGCAATTGACAATTTCTGTTGTCTTTCCTTTTAAAGTTAATTGTGTTTACTTCATTGATTAAAGTATGTTTATATAAGGTTTGAGGTCATCAGTAATCTTGCTTATCATTTGTATACTAAATAAAATATAGTCATAGAGTATTTTGAATAAAAATACCTTGGTTTCCAAATGAGAAATCAGAATGCCTTATGAGATCCAGTAAAATTTGAATTTGTAAAAGGACAGTTCTTGTTGAATACAATGTTTCACACATTTTTATTTTTGTTGTAATCCTGTGCAGAAAGTATATATGTACTTCCGAGGGAGCGGAAAGGCTGCAGAAATGAAGCGGGAGGCAGCACGTGGTGCTATGAGGGCGGCAATATGATTATTGTATTTAGAATCACTTGGTTTCAATGGCCACTGTCTGATTGGAAGGCAAGAAATGCTCTTGATCAAGCTGATGCTTTGCATGCTTGATTTCTTCTTGGTCATTCATGTCTTCAGATTATTGTCAGGCATCTACCTTGCATGAGCACTAATTAGAGTACACTGTCCTTTTACCAAAAATTTACTGGGGAAGTGTGTATCTGCTATAGCTTCTTTGAAGCCTCTTCTTGATTGTGTTAACCATCTGATTTCTTCCTACCACAGCAGTGACTGTTCCTGTTACGGTGGTCGATGTGCTATCGAAAATAGTTTGTAGATATTCGCATGTTGCCTTTCTGATTGACCCCTATTTACATAAATTAGTTTTGCATCCCATGCAACTGCATCTAAAAGATCCTTGATCAAAATTGGGAAGCCACAAACTTGTCTTTTATGGGTCCTAATTTCAATTGATGACATAATTCGCCAATGTCAAACTACAATCTTTGTATAGCTTACTCATGCTCTGGTTGCATGAACAGAGATAAACTTGGTGCAGTGCATTACACAGGTAGGTGGATGGAGTCACCAATTTACCCACCTATAAAGCTAATCATAAGGACACAGAAAGGATAGATCGGGAAAGGTATCAAACAAGAGTGCAGATCTTAGTTTCCTACTCGAGAACGATAAAATCAAGCAGGACTGTTCTCCAGTACAATTCAGGACATGTAAAGATAGAGCCGAGGGAGTTTATAGGTGGTAAAATGTCAGCAGCAAAAGAGAACATGCTCAGAGAATAGCAATAAAAAAGACTACGATTGCACGATATCAGTGAAAGAAATAAAAAGAAGTTTCGACAACGGTAGGCAATATCACCTGCAGTGTCAGGCCGGTGAATCTATCTGAAGTTATTTGCCACCCGCCACAGATTGCGACTTGACCCCAAACCCACATTTCCGGGTGAAAATGTTCCATGAACTCCTTGGCTTTCCGAGCTTCTCGATCTCTTGCTTCATGCTCAAACATTCCTTCTCGAGCTCCAGAACTTGCGACCTCATGTCATCGACATCCATATGGTGATCGTCGTTCTCCTGTTCCTCGCTGATATCTGCTTGAATCGCGACATTGCTGCTCTTCTGGAGAGCGAGGTTGGCATGAGGAGCCTGGGAGCTCTCCACCCTGTCGGAGACGAAGAACCAACCTGCAATCGAGGTTCGTAGGTGGAGCTGCTCAAAGAACAGAACTTGGACGACCAGTCTGAGGGGAAGCCTCTCGTTCTGGGCTGCATGAGTGCAGGCTTCCAAGGAGAGCTTCTGGCAGTTAATGAGTTGGCAGATCTGCTCCCTCTCGGATTCTGTGAGCCATGGATGTGACTGCAATAGAAACCAAAAGTCATCAAGATTGTTTTCTTGATCAAAGAAGTGTTATGCAAACCTGCATGATTCAAGTTTGGCCTGCTTATTCATCTCCAACTAGCCTGGCTCTGTGAATGTGTTGTATCCTAATGGGGTCAGAATGTGTAGAAAGAAATGTCAACTAATACTTTTCCTTTTAAGGGAAGAATGTGTTCCATCTTAAAAGGATCCAATCAAATATTAACTTCATTTAGCAAATTAAACTGATGTTGAAGGTAGTTTTGATCTGTAGTTCTTGCACTCTGATCTCAACAGAGAATCAACCATTGTACTGCTTCAAGCAGCAAAGATCAAATTCTAAACACAAGTCTCGCGATGCCTCTTGTGCATGGATACATCTATAGATAATATTACTTCTACATTCATTCAGAAACTAGGAAGGGTTTCAGCAGAACAGTATACAGAGCGAAAACATGATCAGAAAAGGATATGTTACCTTGAGATAAACGTCAATAGCTCTGTAGATACCATCATCCAAAGGCCTGGCGTAATCCGAAACGACGGAAGCCAGTGAGAGGAACTTGTGAAGCTTCAAATTAACATCAGCTGCAACTTCTGCAAGATAGACATCCACAAGTCTTGCCACCATAGTCATGGGTGCCGGTGATGAAGAGGAGGTTATCGATTGCCCCTCGTCGACTATGGCTGGAGAAGTCACAGTCGACTGGTTTAGCTGCATGAAGTGGACGAGGATTCGCTGGACACAGTCTACGTCGTAAAGAGTTTCCACCGAAGGGTCCAAGCTTGGTATTAGGAGATCCTCCAGTGCAGCTTCCTCCACTTGGGCTCCTGTTCTCCTCTCCAAATTCTCCCTACAGGAAGGACTCGCACGTAAGATCATGGCAGTGCGAAGCAATCGGAGAAGGAACCTGGTCGAGATCACACCCTTGTTCATGGGTAGCAGGTCAACAATCTCTTCAAGGAAGACCCTTTGCTCGCTTTCTGATGCTGCTGAAATCGATGAACCAGGCGTGATGCGAGCAGTAGTACTGCCCCCACTCAGTCCTGGTAAGGACCTCTTTGCAGAATAAATGAGGGCTTCAGCAACGTTTTCCGGCTTCATTCCTTTGGCCTCCATGGCCAAGATGAGTCTTTTGAACAGTGGCAGACCGAGGAACGTTGCGTCCATATACCACCAATCAGCAAGCGCTGACCTCGGTGCCTCTCTGGCGACTACTATTCCGTTCCAGGGAGTTCTGCTACTGCTACAACTACTGCTACCTTGTGAGCTTTTGGTGGCGGCGTGTCCACCCACAGGCCAAGCCGAAAGACTCGGATCAGAACAAGCTTTAGATGCCAGAGAGTTGATGCATCTGGAGACGATATGGAGGCCTTCTGCATGAGGAAGAACGCTCTCGCATGCCTCAAGGGCTTTGATTGTGTCCTTCCAGCTACTAAGTACTTCGCCCAGGAAGTTGTCTGTCCGCGTGATAAGGTTGCCTCCTACATAATCCTCGGTCATGAGGAGGTGCTCCGCGGCACATCGCACAGGCACAACGTTGGTGGCATTCAGCTCTATCTTGATGTCGTAGCAAAATTTGGCCGCCAGCTCGAAAGCCTTGGCACCACCAGGGATGTCATGGAGATGAAGAACACAAGCTTTTCCATCCTCACTGCGGAATTCACTTATCATTCTTCCCAAAAGACCGCTCCTATTGAGCAGTGGGAACTGCAAGTCAATAACGAAATGTATTAGGCCTCTGATTGAACACATCGAATGGCAAAACCAGCAACACATCTCAGACTGTAGAAGAAAAGACTAGATTCTTTTTCCTTCCTCGATAATGAAGAGAGAAGAAAAGTTCCCATAAAACGATTAAAAAAGAATGAATGACAAATTTGTTCCTGAAGCTCCCCGCGATGAATCCAATAAATTCGGCTTATAGCACTGATCAAACTGGTCATAATAAATGTTTCAAAAGTAGTTCCCAACAAAATATTAATAATTCTTAAACAATCATAATAATTAATAGACCTATATTATCTTCATATCAATTATTTTGTATAATTTTATATTTATGATAGATATATATATATATATATATATATTGGAGTTTTCTTTTGGGATTAACAACACCAGTAATAGATTAGATTATTGGAAGTCTTCTTCTTTACCATACTCGAAGTTTTATGTTATTATCTGCACATAGTTGCATACAAATGTCCATGGAAATGACATCAATTGGAGTACAGAGGGGAAAAATGAAGCTAAACAACATACCTTATGAAGATGGAAAGACATCTCTCCTACTTCAATGAGAACATCACTTGCAAGCTCAGTCAAACATCTCCTGCAAAGGCAAAAAAGAGTATATGGAGCTCATCAGTTTCACCAACTTACTCTCAAGGCTTCTTTGATGATGGAAAAACTCACATTCAAGTTTCCATGGATGATGTTCGTTATTTGTCTAGCAAATGTATATATATTTATATACACTACCAAGAGATCCAACTGATAGGCTTTCTATCAACATGAAAGAAATCCATCATATAAAAGAATTCCTCTCAAAGAATTAACAAAAAAAAAAACGAAGAAAGGAAGAAGAACAAAACAATGTAAATGAGTTGATCCTCGAACTATTTACTAGAAATGGGACAGTGCAGCAAAGCAACACCATTATGCATGAATCACAACGATCTATTGACAGTGTGAGATGGAAGGATGCTTGCCATGTTTGGCCTTCAAGCTGAAATGCTTCTGCCTTGGAACCCAGCTTCATTGTAGCCATCACTTTCTTCCTTTTCTTTCAAGATCTGCAGCTTATGTTAGAAAGTTGATCAGGAAATGATAGCACAGCAGGAGAGCATGAACTTGTTGTTGCACTCCATACAGGAGAAGGATTAAATATAAGAAGAGAGATAAGAGGAAACTAGGCTTTGGGGAACAGAACAGGCAAATGATACTATAATTTGCCCCAGCTAAAAAAACTACCAAAAATGTTGCCTTCGAGGGAAGAAGAGTTAAGGATGAGCCCGAGTCTCATGGAGCAACCAACAACCTCCAATAAATCCTCCTTGATGGATTCCAGCGGCTTTCACGTTTACTGAGTTTTGAGGAGATCCATTCACCTTTCCGTATGTTCACCTCCCTCCACTAAACTCTCATTGCATCTTCCACATCCAATGAAGAAAAGAGACAGGAACGCTCTAATTGGTCTTTTGATTAGAGCTGTCCAAATCCTACATCAAAATGTTGCACGGTAAACAGAGTAAATATTGGTTCTGCAGGTGACGACCAATGGCCATCAGCTAAAATCCGAAGAGCTGCAGGAGGACAGAGATGAAAGTTCTCGTTGAAAGCATGCACTGCCATTTAACTGTATTCCCTTAATGCTCGATGATAGCGATGAGATTACAGTGATTCGAGTACAGTGCGTATAGGTAATGGCTCGTCGGTTATGAGATAAGACTTTGTCGAAAGCTTAGTCATGTTTGATGGAAAAACCGAGACAGGAGAGGTATATGAAGCTAAGAACTAATAGAGATGCAGAATGGTCGGAGCGCGAGTGTAGTAATCCGTGCAGTGGGATTTGAAGAATGGATGAACAAACGTGAACAGATGAACAGATAACAACACGATCAAGCAATCAATGGCATGGTGCGATTGGCTTCCCGACATGATCTCTCTTAGGATACTGATGCTAAGAATTCTCCAGCAACATGCAGTCTTCGACTCAACAGCAAGCGAAATGAGTCGTCAACAATGGTTTCATTTCAGCTTCTTGTTGGCTTGTATAACAAATGAAATCACTCTGCTGTATGACAATGGAATGGAGTCGATCAATTCCACCGCTATAATCACTTCAATCTGGATGTACCAACAAAATGCTGGTAAACCTATGCAATCTAAACAAATCGAGATCACCTACACATCTACAATCACCTCACATGGAAGGAAGTAATTACAGAATACTGGAGAACCATCAGACACAAAATGCAGCTTACAATCTCACACTAATAAGCTCGTGGAGATTTATAAAATATGGCATGCTTAAGAAAATAAAGAATACGAATGCTTGAGATTAATATCCTCAGGGAAAAGCTTAATCATAAGAATATAATATAGATGCTTTTAGCAGTTCTCCAAATGATTTATGCATGGCTTCCACCACTTTCGTCTATACCCAAAGTTTTCAATGAGGGTGGAGGTAAAAGCAAAAGACAGCCCAATGGTGGGATTGGCAAAAGATCTCTCCCCAGTGCCTGGAATTTGAGGAATACAGTCACCAAAATTAAAGAAAATTGAACCTTGTGACTGAAGACTCCAGTCTGCATGAGAAGAATTGAACCCAAAATATCTCTTAATGGTGCCTCGATAGCACGTCGCAATGATCCATGCAGGATAAATAATGCTTGCTCCGACAAAGTTAGCTTTTAGAGTTGCAAGTGAAATCAACGCAGGTCTGACAGCTACAATCTGAGAAACGGCAAATTTCACATCCAAAACATACGCATGTCGTGCATCCTCTGCAGGATGGAGATCGTGAACAACCCCTTAAGACTTTACGACTTGCTCGCTCCTCTTCGTCATCGCAGGTGACGCTGATGCATGAAATGAATATATGGTTTCAATAAACTCAAAAAAGAGACAAAAATGCAAAGAGAAAAGGGAAAAGTCATCACATTGCAAAACATTCCTAAACAATGGGAAGCAAAGAAATAATATTGTCGTATTTCTCCTAATAATGTCATTTAAGAGTACCTCAAATCAGAATATTTCAGACCAACTTGTTTGGATATATAAATCTAACCACACTTCTTTCCCTGTAATTACACAAAGGTGTCTCCAAAGTTCATATTAGGCAAGAGAAATTTGAACAAATCTTGTATTTGGCGAGGATCTATTAGCTATGCCAAAAAAATCTCTGACTTATTTGCCCTCCTTCTAGAGAAATTGCCTCAGCAAGCTACAGACCAGTGGAGATAATTTATTGATATTACTAGTAAACTGGAGATAGATATGCCACTTAAAGAAAACTATGGAAGGACATCTAACTAAACCTGATGGCCATATGATCTGATTAAAATAAACAAAACTAACACCTGGAAACCAATGCTTCAGATAGTAAGACAGCAAGCATTGCTTAACTGGGAAGCAATGCACATCAGGAGGGAAGCTTAAACCATGGTTCTTAACTTCAACCAGATCGATAAATACAGAATGGTATTTACCGGTTTGAGCCTGAACTAGCATGTGGACCACCCCATTCCAGGTGGTTTGGGTCCAGCATATTGGTCACTGCTTGATGATAAGCCTATCGAACCGAGCTTACCATTCACACAGGCCCTTCTCCTTGTACTACAATACGTACCAGCATACCATGTATTAGTATGCCAGTGTTGACTACCAAATCCATACCGATCTGTCCATGGAACTAAACTTTCAAACAACACGATATTAGATTGAATGATGCAGCAAAGGTTACAAAGTAGCACTCAGGATGACAGGCTATGATAATCTAAACCTTTACCCAAATGCATACTAAAGAATTTGTGGGAATCATCACCTTTCACACGCCTTGGACCTAATCTCAAGTTTTGAATTGAGACC